GTCAGAGGAGGGGCACACTGAAGTGCTCTGGGTTAGAATACAAGGCAGTCAAGGGGCAAGAGATTTAATGGTGGGGGTCTACTACAGACCACCCAACCAAGGGGAAGAGCTAGACCAGGAATTCTTGAGTCAGCTCATGGAGGTAGTTAGGTCAAAGGACGTGGTCATCATGGGTGACCTGAACTTTCCAGACATCTGCTGGGAAGAGCAGTCAGCCAGGTCTGACCGCTCATGTAAGTTCCTAGTCAGAATGCAGGACCTCCATCTAACCCAGGAGGTGCACGGCCTCACCAGGGGAGATGCCTTGTTGGACCTGGTGTTGGCCACCGGCGATGACCTGGTGAGGGGGCTGCAGGTGCTCAACCACCTGGGTGACAGTGATCATTGCCTGCTGGAATTCACCATCTAGCGCAAGGTGGCAGAGGCCTGCAGCAAGGCAGCACTCCTAGATTTCAGGAGGATGGACTTCAATGAGCTAAGGAGAATAGTCGGGGAAGCACTGAGGTCCCAGAAGGGAGGGGATCCGGGTGTCCAAGAGGAGTGGTCGCTCCTTAAGGAGACAATCCTCCAAGCCCAAAGGGAGGTAATCCCTGTCGGGGTAACCGAACACCGAGTGAATCGGGCCCCAAGGTCACGGTGGGCCGGGGTGGCAATTGGAATACGAACAGGTGGGATTAGCGGCGGTGGAGTGTGAGCTGTACAGGAAGTTTAAACAAAGATGATTTATTTACTCAAGCTTGGGAAGCCGAGGCTCAGATATTTCTTCAGTTACAGTATAACGAACAACAAAGGGGTCTGTTGGGCCACAGGATTCACTAGCGAGCCCTTGCTTTCTACCCCCTGAGGGATAGGTGCGGCTGCCTACTAGCTAGTCCCAAGGCTGGTCAACAGCTCATGAACGGGATAACAAACAACAAAAACTGTAACGTAGTGAACCGAGGAACGGGGTCGTGACGCCAGTCCGAAAGACAGTCCGTAAGCTGAGGTCGGAGATGAGAAGCCAGAATGAAGTAAGCTGAAGTCAAAATCGAAGCCAAACAGTCCTGTAACTGAGATCGAAAAGACGAGTCGCTCCACCCGCCCTCCGCAGCCTCTGCTTGCGCCTCACAGTCCCTGCCGTCCGCAGTCTCGGCTCGCAGGATCGTTCTCTCCCTGTGAGACAGTCCCTGCAAAGGCAGCCTCTGCTTATAGGATCAAGCACAGTCTCTCCTCCAAAACGCGCACACACCACCTCACCACACCTGGGTGGTGGCTCACAAACCTTTTATAAGAATTTAGTGGCCAGTCA